ACGGGGGCCTTGCCAAGCTGGAGGAATGCATCAGGGGGAACACCATGAAGTTTAACAAAGACTGGTGTAAAGTCCTGCACCTGGGACAGAACAACTCTGTGCAAGTCAGGCTGGACACTGACTACAACTAAGGCAGAAAGCAACGCTGCAGAAAAAAACCTGGGGATCCCGGTGGACAAGTTGAATAGGAGTAAGCAGTGCATTACTCTGGTGACAAAGGCCAACCATGTACTGTGCTGGATTAAAGCTTAGCCAGCACATTAAGGGCAATAATTATTTACTTCCTTGGCATTTGTGAGGCTGCACCGAGCTATGTCCACTTTTGAGTTCCTGAATACAAAACCAATACTGATAAACTGGAGAAAGGACAAAGACTAAGAAGGGTAGAGAGCTGGAGCACATGGCACATGAGAAGCTAAGAGAATTGGGGTTGCTTCACCTAGAGAAGAAAAATTTAGGAAAGATCTAATTGCAGTCTTTACCCTTAAATAGGGTTTATAGAGAAGATGAAGACAGACACATCTCAGAACTGCACAGCAAGGGCGTAACTGACAAGGGTCTCAAGATTCAACAAGGGAAACTGCAGCAGGGGATAAAGAAAAACAAAATTCACCATGAGTGTGGTTAAATACTGGAACAGATGGGCCAGTGAGGCTGTAGAATTTTTGTCTCAGGAGATACTCAAAACTGGACTAAACAAAGGCCTGATCAAGCTTTAAAGTTGTATGCAACTTCCAGGTTATTCCTAATCCAAGCTGCAGCTGGACTAGGTGATCTCCAGAGGTCCTTTCCAACCTAAATTATTTTTATTTCACTAACTTCTATTCTCCCTATTCTTCCAGGTTTGTGTTTTTCTCATGCATAAACATGCACGGTTTTATAAATAAATAAAACCAGCTTTCCTTTTGTCATCACCTTCCATGAAGCTGAGGAGTAACTACAGGCTTCTTTTTTTGCTTCAGCTCATTATATTCATGCAATCCAAGGACAGCACCTTCTGCAGCTGCTTGAGCATCTCCACAGGGGTCTACTTCAACACAAGTGATCTCCAGATCTTGGATCTGTCTACAGCCAACTGAAAAACACAGTATGGAACTAGTGGGCTGAGTATTGCACAGAACAGCAAAACAGGTCTCTGTGGTAATCAATATGACATTTAAAGGGAAAAATAATTTTAACTCAAGATATCCAAGTTGATGGGTAAATCAATTACAAAGATCATTCAGTAGAATGATTAAAAATGCAATGATCATATACTGATAAATTTCAACTAAAATACCACTTGACAGATTATAATGATTAAGACAATTCACGAGAAAAAAGTCCACAGTTGTTCCAATTCCTTTAAACTCAATCTATAGCAAAGAAAAACTCCATCTTCCTCTAGTCCTGCGGATTATAACTATCTGCAATTATCTGCAGGTATCAGAAAAATGTTGTAATTTAGTTTTTTTTCTCTTTTCTTCCAAATGACTTTATACACACTTTTATAAACAAAAATAATATTAAGTTCCATAAATTCTACTTTGTACCCAAATAACTTCACAATGTTTTGGCAGCTGTTAAGACAAGATGAGCTAGCACTCATGGGTGGGTATACATCTGTCATACATGTGACTGACCTCCTGTCATAGATAATAAACTCTGTGGCAAGAACTCTTTTTATTCTTGGTTTATACACACTTAGATACAGCAGTCACCCTTGATTAAGATAAGAGGCCTCCTCTGCCTATAACAGGTAACATACTGAATCATCCTACTGATGTTCTGAAAGACACCAGTTTATAGTACAAGTATCTGTTACAAAATGGGTAACAAAAGTGATTATATATGCATACTGAAGAACAGTGTGAGCATAACGTGAATTGGTGGTGCTCTTGGGCTTCACAACAGCAGTGATTAAACAAGTGCCTTTTCACACTGTTCAGGAAAGTTATTTGATTTCAATAACTGCAGTTACCTGACTGCAGATGGATTTACATGCCCTGTAACTCCTTTCTCACTAAGGAAAAAATTTACATGAGTATCAGTGACAAGTAAGGGTATTTAACAAACCACAGAATAGGTTTTGCATTTCAAAACAAAATCATACCTAGACTCATTCTTCAAAAATGGAACTTGCTGCACCACTGCAATAGTTTTATAGACAATGCTTAAGAAAATGTAAGAGCCAACCTGCAACAGCTGCACGAATGTTTTCTTTGCCTTCATTCCAGTTTTCTTGGTCATTTATTCCAGCATTCTTCTTGCCCAAGCCAACTACAACCACACTTGGAAAGTCCTAGATGAAGCCAACACACAAATGGATTCACTTCCCTCATTGGTACAGCCACAGCAGAGTTGCTAAAAAGACCTTACTTGCTAGACCAAGTACTAAACACCTTCAGTACTTTGTTACATACATTTCCTCATTAAGAGTGCCAGCACTGTGCCACTGTGTTGCACTCCTCATCATTTGCCACAGGCATGCAACCAGTTCTTCTGTCCAGTTAATAATCCTGTGTATTGCAGCAGATAGGGCTTTATGTTCAACACACAGCAAACCTGATATTTCTAAGGGCAAGTCTAAGAGTCCTTTGAAAGCAGATCCAGCTTTCCAGCTAAAACACAGGCCAGAACTTAGCTGGAGAAGCGTAACCTTTTTTGGTACACTACTACTCTGCTCAGGGAAATAAAATCACCTCCAAGGCTAAGCCTATCACCTCAGCTCAGGAGTTGAGCTGGCATGATTTGCCAGGTTACAAACCAAAGCTGCACAGAGGTACACAGCCCCAGAACTCAGGAAAGCAATGCGATGCAGCAGACTAAATGCTTGCCTTATAAACAGCAGACAGTCTGACGGGACTACCTTGTGTTAGAATTGTCATGTCTGGAAGGTCTTTGCACATTCCAGTACACACACTTGCTCCTCCTGCACAGTAGGAGCCAGATCCAGAACTGTTGTGTTTCATTCAGCTCATTCAGTAAGCAGTTATTCAGAGCGCACCACCTTTGGAGCAGATTCGTTTACATCTTCTCAACCTACAGCACAGTGCAGGGAGCATAGGAATACGAAAACGGCCATGCAAATGTTGAAAGCTCCTGTTCTGCAATGCCCCACATGAACCACACCTTTTGTTGAGAGGTGTGAGGGGGAAGAACAGCAGAGCATTTATACAAGCACAACAGTGAATGGCTTAAAGTAAGATGCAAGGGCAAACCTCACACATTAGTCAATATATACACAAAAATCCAGTTAGTACCTGATGCAAACCATGGAATATGCGTGTTTTTCCTTTCTTCAAAGGTGGTCCACATCTAGGACACAAAAAGATTCTTTCAATAAAAAAGTCCTTTATGCAGTTGTTACAATACTACATTCATCCCACACCCCACAGTGTTTCTCAACAGTTCTGGGACACTTGGCTTGGTGCCAATCCACAGAAAAAGGCAGTTCCTATGAACATTTTGCACATTTCCTTAGTGCTCAGTTTTTCCACAGGAGTTCCCTTCCAAATTGCTTGGCCTGGTAGAAGCAAATACCAGCCTGGGAAGTGCTGTGGGTAAAAACACTTAATAACTATAAAAAAGACTGCTCCTATTGGTGTTTGTAGGTACATTAATCCATTTCAGCAGCTGATCACGCACTTACATGGACACAAGTTCTCTCAGCCTTCCAGACACAAGTCTATCAAAAGCATCTCCTGCACTAGTGAGCTGGGCAGCACCTCCATCCTTTTCACTTGAATAGATCCCCAGAACAAGACCCTAAGAAAGGATACACAGGGATGTAAACAACATGAAATTTAACGACCCATCTAAAAGGCAGCAAGCACACTGTTTGCATCATAGCTACTGCATATACTCAGTTTATGTATTTATCCAACAATGCACAGAGCAACTCTTTGGTAAACCAGGTCACCACAACCAGCACTTCGAAGGGTGAAAAACACACAGTATAATTAAAGACACAATCATTTTGCCTACCACGTAGAAAACAAAACCTGTTTCAACCTGTGATTAAAAGTACAAAAGAGCAGCTCCCCCAGTCATAGCCCTCCAGCGAGGTTCACCCAACTGGAGGGAACAGCAGCTCCTCTCCTGCGGGCCAGCCCCGCAGGGCAAGGCGACCACCTCGGCACCGCAGGTTTTCGAGCTAAAGCCCGGGGCTGGACCTGGGAAGCGCTGGGCGACCGGCACGCTCAGCCACGGCTGCGGAACAGCAGGAGGAAGGAAGGGGCACCTCGCGTCATGGCTGCCCGCTCCCGCCTTGGGTCACCCCGGGCAAGGGGGGGGTCCCTGTGCCCCCTCACCTTCCCGCCCGCGGCGCGGCTGCAGCCCCTGCAGGCCAGCGGGAGGTCCCGGCCGAGGCGGCGGGCCGCGCTCCGCACACCCGGCAGCAGCATGGCAGGCGGCAACAGTCGCGCCAGTCGCTTCATCAGCCGGCGCCGAGCGGGGCGGGGCAGGCGAGGGGCGGTCGGGACGGAGCCGGGAGGCAAGGATCCGTCACAGGTCGGTGTCTGCGGGGACACGAGCGGTGTTTCGGGGTTTAGGTGTGCGCAGGGCTGTGCACCGCAAGGGATGGGGATCGGTCCCACAGGGGATGTTTGCCCTCCTGCTGTGTGCTCCAGGGGAGTGTGCCACAGCGTCGCTTGTGGGCTTGTCACAGACGCTAACTGTCCCGGTACGCATACTGAAGATTAAAATGTACGTGTACTGTGCTAACGTACGTGTACCAGCTAACGCACCTTCACAGACTGGGTTGGTTTGCTGCCCATCCGGTATCACACCATCTTCCCGGAGTCATGGCGCAGGGTAAAGACTGAGTGAAAGCACCGGCAGAGTCAGAAAAACAGTGAAGTAGGGGAGTGTTATAAACTAGGAATCACTCCTTCTGCCTTATTCTAAAATTGACGTGCTTAATGGCATATTCTTTTCTCTGAAATACTCATTACTTGTGAGTCAAGACTGGTTGAATGCTTGTCAAAATTATGGTACTCCCCAAGTAACTTTTCCACCCATTTAACCATTCAAATTCATTTTAATACTGTTTCACCATACATCACTTTTACTTGATTTCATACAGACATAAGAACTACAAGGGTTCCGAAGACAACTGATGTGTCAGATTATCATTTTCCTGGTTATCGAAAAGCAGTTACTTTGATTCTGTTTACTTTACTCCCAGAAGCTGCGATGAAACCTTCATTTTGCAGCTAATACATTTTATTTCATAGTCCACAAGCACCCCATGAACCTTACTTTTCTCACTTCTTTACTCTGTGGGGTTTGATAATTTCAGTTGAAACATTTCACACATACTTAGCCTGTGCTTCTCCTTAATTTTAGCTTTAGAGATGATGAAGTGTTCTTTTTCAATGTGCTATAACATCACCAAACATATTTCACACAGCCCTCACAATGTTTTCCAGGTAATTCTGTGAAATTAATTGGTAGATGTCCGTTCTTTCTGTTTTGAAATAAACTTAGGGTATCAAAGATTTGTGATACACATTCTTTCTAAACAAAGAAGACACTTGGTTTCAATGAAATTGTATTTCAGTTGAGTTTTCTAAAATATCTCAAAATGCAAATTTTCAGAAACCTGTGAGCAGTGTGTATTCACTACATGTATCAGTCAGTTTGGAGAACAATGGTAACTGCATTTGTTATTCCCACCTTCCAACATATGTGAATTGCTGGTACAGCCGAATATCATATTTACACATGTTTATACAAAAATTATCCATCCAAATCAAAAGCTGAAGAGCCAAGCAGTTGTTTTGTGTTGTGACAGTTCACTTGACCAAAGTAGTTCTGTGTAGATTTATTAGTACATGATATCTTCTGCTGTAACATTTGCTTCTTCTGTTTTAGTCTTAATTTTAGGGAAATGAATCCCACTAATGGCTATTAGCAGCAAATTCACTGCATGTGCTGTGGCACTTGCCACACAAAGCCAAAAAGAGTCTTCAAACCTTTCTTCTAAGACAACGAATTGAAAGATATTTTCCCGAAAACTGGCGATTCTTTCTGTGAGGTGATGAAGTTTCACAGCAGCCATAAAGCTGGTGACTGCAAGTACTAGAAATCCACCTGCAATGAAATGAAACAAGGCAGATTATGGTTGGGCTTCAGAATACTTATTGAATACAACAGTGGGTGTGATACAGAATAGGGGTGGGTTTAGGTATGGCTTAAACACCTTCAAAATGCTTAGTTTTTATTGTATGGCCAAATGTAGTACCAGTGTTGGTAATAAAGTCGTTCCTTCAATGGTACAGACAGAGCCTAACAACTGGCATTCACAGCTCCTGTAAAAAGGTGACAGATGCGAATTCACTGCTACCTTCATTTTATTCACAAGTATTTAAGTCAAGGAAATATTCAGTAAGGCAAGATAAGGGACATTTAACATTGTGTATGAATGTGACTGGTAAAAGCTACTGGTAAATGCTGTTACCTGCAATGAAGTTCCAAAGGCAAACTCCTGCTGGACCTTTAATAGCCCGGTAAGGAACTTTTATTGTGTTAAGAATGCAGAATCCAAAACTGACCAGAGAAAAGGAAATGGCCACACAGAGGAACATTATAATGATCACGTGCAGGCCTGTATTCAGCTTTTTCACCATGTGTGGGAAAACTGTCAAGGAAAGAAAACGTCATCTAGTCAGTGTGTGTTTTTTCTTGACAACAGTAAATATCACACTGTGCTGGTGCTACAGACTTAAATTATACTGAAACAAGACCATCTTTTACAGAGGTGATCAATTCAGGTAATTACACACACCTTAGTTCATGATGCTTTGTCACTACATCACACAAACTAGGGATATTCTACTACAGGAATATCCTTTACAAAGGTCTGTGAATAAGGACAGGCTTAAGTCCTGCTTAATTTATCTACTTGTGTTAATGTCTTTATCTCTGCTGTAGAATTAATTAGTAATTAATTAATTAGAAAGTTTATTAAAGAGTCCAGAAAGCTGTACAGAGATTAAAGGAGACTGCCTACTTTTTCCTCATTCTCTCTGACAGGATAGGGTGAGAGAACTGGTATGGTATTTCTGAATGCCTCAGAGGAGCAGAGCAGAGCTGGAAGAGGTTTGACCTGATGGCTGGTCTGCCAGCCATTCAAATTCACTGGACAAAGTAATTGAGTGTGACTGCTCTGCCCATGTAATGAAGTTGCAGCTACAGTCAGAGCTTGAGCAAGACTTGGTTATTGTAAAAAGTGACTAGTCCACATTCATCTCATTTTAACAACTGATCCAAGTTAAGGTTGTTCTGATTCTCTTCATTCCTCTTAAGTCCCACAGTCCTGCCTGCCTTTGAGTTTTTAGAGCGGTGCTGTGCAGTTGTGTAGTCAGCCATGATCCTATGGGAAACTAATGGGTTTTTTGGTATGTTCATTTTTTTGCCAGCTTAACTTCCTGACCAATTTCACTGCAACAACTCCCAAAGCCATTGCAAAGGACTGGGCAGGACAGCATTCCTGTGGGCTACAGAGGATGAGGCTGCAGCGGCTTCAACTTGTATTGGTTTAAGTCATGGTGAATCCGCACACTGAACAGAAAATCATTAATGCAAAATAACATTTTCACTGTAGTACATGATGTGCAAAAACTGGGTAATCACCCAAAGTACATATCAGTGTCTGAGTGGTTTTGAGACCTCAAGAAAATCTTTTAAGTTAAAAAAAAAAAAGTAGAAATTCTTACAAATGTATTCAGGAGTTCAGTGTTTTGTTTTTTTTTTCTCCAAAGTTACAAGGAAAAAAGGTAAAAATGTCTTCAACACATTAATAAAGTTAGGAGTGTCTGCTGTGGCAGGCAGCTGCATTAGGAAAGCTAGAGAAATGCAGAAATCTGGCCAGCTAAATAGATCTCTGCTTCTTAAAGGAATAAAAAGGTTAAGGAGTTCAACAGAGAAGGTGAGGACAGAGGCATAGAGAGATTGCAGAGCAACACTTGGCATAGGAAAGAGTCAAGGGGAAGGTGTAATTTACAGGGTCATCTCCAAATGACTTTCACTCCCTTCACAAGACCAACAGGAAACCCTCAATCTAGCCTTAGGGATTTCCCTCCCCCACCTCCATGTCTTTATTTCAGGATATAACAGAACACAACTGGTAGAAAAAAAGCCCAAAATGATAGATATTTTACATTTGCACTCAGATCCCAAACCATAAAAAAACACAAGTCAGCCACAAATACAAATTTAATAATAGTGATTTGCATTCTATGAGGTCTTTAAACAAAAAGTGTTTTTAAAGTTGAACGTGACATCAGAGTAAAGATTCAACCAAACTTGTACTTACTTGTGAACTGGGAGCGCCGCCCGCCCAACCCACACTGCCGAATTTTGCCGCCCCGGAAGAGTCCATAGTAAATTTCTCCAATGAACTTGACCAGCTCTGGATCTGTGGCATTGACCAAATCAGCTCCTGTTTTGCAAAGGATCTTCCCAGTCATCCACTTTGGGGTCCCCATTGCAACAACAATCAGGATAAAAGACACAAAACTTACTAGGGAAGCCAAGGCAAATAAAGTCTTTTTAAAGCAGCCAGGCATCCTAGTCTTTTCAATGAATCATCACCAAGGCCTCTGTACAGCAGGCACGTCTCCGTTCTTTCTCATGCTCCAAAATTCACAGATGAAGAGCAGGTGCTTCAAAATACATCTCATTGTACTTTGAAGCTCCAGAAATTAAGCAGTACAGTTAAAAATCAAATGAACAACATATTTTGCTGCGATAACATCCTGAAATGGTTGCAAGGAACAGCTTTGTTATACTGTAGAGAGGCGATGCTTGTTTCTGTGGAAAGTAATCCTATATCTATTGGCTGGCTAAGGTTTCATCAGCGGTTTAATTGTCCTGCTCAAATGACATCAAGTTCTTTACTGTAACCTCATGGGAAGAAAATGAGGAGAATCCAGTTTTTTAGATTGTTAAACGTGGGTAAGTAGCTGTGTGCGGGGAGCCAAGCATTAAACCAGGCGATTTGGCAGCCGGGTTCTCCGGGCTCCTGAGCGGTAGGGAGCCCCCTGCTCACTCCCACCCGCCTGTACACGTCAGTGCCGCGGGGGCGGTGCAGCTCGGCTCGGAACGGAGCCCTCCCATCTCGGCCCGCCAGCCGAGGGAGGCACATCACCGATGCTCCCCGACGTGCTGCATACGGACCCTCCGAACACATGCGGTTCCTGCCGCCCGAGGGACTGAGCTAAACGGCGTAATCCAAGCTACAGGCGCGACCCACGGGCGCTGAATAAACCTGCCTGTAATTGCCTGCACTTCCACTATTACCGCTACTTCAGCCCTACGGGGACCTCTGTAACCGCTAATTAATTAATCAATCAATCAATCAATCAATCAATCAATCAATCCTGGCGGTAACACGGTCTGTCGCCTTGGCTGGGGGAGCTGTGAGGGTGGTTGCCTACAGATACGTGCCTACCCCTCAACACCACCGCCGCAAGGGTGCGGAATTTCCTGAGGTAAATGTCTCCCCGCAGCACCACCCGAGCCCCAGCTAAAGCTCGGCCAAGACCCCGCGACTGCTCCTCCCCCTTGCCCCGGAACTGCAGCAGAAGGAGGACGTTCCGCCCCCTTAGGCCCCGCCACTACTACCGGAGTCGGGCGCTGCCGCCTTGCACCCGCCCCCCGCGGGGGCAGCCCCCATGCGCAGGCGGGGCTGGCCGGCCACCCAGGCGAAGTGCTGGGCAGCGAAGTAGTGCTGGAGCTAGAGTGGGACGGGTTGGGCTGGGCTGGCAGCGAGCATGGCCGCGGCGGGCAGGGTGCTGGTGTACGGGGGTAGAGGCGCGCTGGGGTCCCAGTGCGTGCGGTACCTCAAGTCCAGGGACTGGGTAAGCTCCGGCCGGGCGGGAGGTGGCGAGGCGGGGAGCGCTCCCGATCGAGGGGCAGCGTGAGGCGGTTCGCCGGCCGGGCGCTAACGCGCTGCTCTCTGCAGTGGGTGGCCAGCATCGACCTGGCGGAGAACGAGGACGCCAGCGCCAGCGTGGTGGTGAGGATGACCGACTCTTTCCCCGAGCATGCTGAGCAGGTGGGTTGGCGCGGGGCGGCCTGAGGCGGTGGAGGGGGGCGGCCAGCCGCTCCTTCGTGCTCTCATCCGTGCGCTCTTGCCAGTGCTGCGGCCGCAGGGAGGGAGGCGGCTGCAGGGATGGGTCCGGATTCGGGCAAGAAGCAGCTGCTGTGGGCAAAGGAGCTTACCGGTGGCGGTGCCCTCAACCCGAAGATCATCACATCTCCTTGTCACTGTTTCCTTTATTATTTGTAATTTAATTGCATGCATGAATATGCAGAAAGAGCTTGAGGTGAGATTTTGGAGGTTCAGCACGTAATGCAATTTTGTGTTACTTTTCTCTTGGCGACTTGAAAAGTCACAGGCTGAATCAGGTGAGTATAACGAAGATGAATTTGGACACCTTAAAATGCAACAACACTTCTCTCGAATGTCCTAAATCTTAAATACATAGTTTGTAGGTAAGAAGTATACTCAAAGCATGCAAGCTCTATGCCCCGATGGGATATGTAGAGAATACTCTGGTTTCCACGAAGGTGAATATGGGAGAATCCAAGCTAGCCTAAAAACTGTTCTGCTTCATTCTCGAGAGACGGGATTTAGTTTTTAATTTGTAACTTTTGACTCTATTTTTCTTGTTGATAAACTGAATCATTAGCCAGTGTTTTCTTTATGTGTACTAATTCTTAAGGCTGTTGAAGAATAATGAGTTTGTAACGTATTTTTCAATGCTCAATTGTTGTGAAAACCAGCGGATATTTGGTTTTGTTGAGAGACAGGTTGTGTGCTTTTCACTTTGGCAGAGAAAATTGGTAGGCAACACACTGCCAACTGTGAAGTCTTGTGTTTGAAATTGAAAAATATACTGGATATTTAAAAGTATACAAATATAAATTTAGGGGCCAGACTTGAACTGATGGTTGTAGTCTAGATAGAAGCAATAAAAAGGCTAATTTTCAGTTGTTCATTTCTTGCACTGTCATCAAAAGTGACACCTGTAGTCCTGCTCAGACCTGGAGTTTCATTTTCAATGTTAAGCATCACCATACCCAGAGAAGAACCTGTCAAAAAGTAAGTCACAAATAAAAACTGTTAATGATACGGGTCAGGGTCAGATCTTTCAGTCCAGCTAAAATCAGTTATTTCCCATACTATCATGCACTGTACAATCTGACCTTCTTTGGGCTGACTTTCATCTGTAGTTGTCTTTCAACACAATTACTTTGAGTTCATATAGATCATAAATGTTAATTTTATACAGTTATTTCAATTGCTGTGTGTTGTGTTACTTGGCTAAAAAGAGGGTCAGTCTTGACATTTACTTCTGTGCCTTACTCATCCAGCATTTCCAATGCATCTTTGTTCTGTGTACTGTAGGTGACAGCAGAGGTTGGAAAACTCCTTGGTGAAGAAAAGGTGGATGCAATCTTGTGTGTAGCAGGAGGATGGGCTGGAGGCAGTGCCAAAGCTAAGTGTAAGCCTTTGGTACATGCATGTCAGTAAACACATGAATGAAATCTGAGAGGAATCCTTAAAAATCATGGTAATAGGGATATTTCAGATGGTCTTTCTTCCCAAGTCCAGAAGAGGACATGAGCGTAGAAGTACAGAATGACTCAGTCACAATGCTGCTTAGTGCTTCTGTGAATTTTTGCAGTTAAATTTGCACGGCACTTGGTATTCTCAGTAATACTTGATATGCCAGTTTGCTCTGAAAAATCTCGATGCACTTTATGAAGGAGTTCAGTGTTACTAGCTATGAACTAACTTCTGCTGAGTTTACCTATATCAGGCAAGTTACATAAAACAATGGCTGGGCAGAAGCATCAGTGTTGTTTCCCAGTTCATTGCTATATGCATATCAGCTCAGTTGCCTCCTGTAGTTCTCTGAGCTATTAATGTGCAATGCAGTGTTGGAAGGGGCTGTCTAATGGCCTGAGATCATGCTACAGAAAACAAGCCTGTAGACATGGAATATTCAGAATGAAATTTATACTTTACCTGCTAGTATAGAAATACAATCAAAAAAATACTCATTTTCTGTCTGGAGGAAATCTGATAAAATGCGTTCTGTTCTTCCCCCATTCCAGTTTGGACATTAAAGGCAAAGATTTCTCTTTGAAGAGTGGCAAGATGGAAAGGCATATGTGCTTATGCTACAGCTGCATTATGTTAGATTGTTAGCTTAAATAAGACACTTTATCATAAACATGATTTATAGTGATGGTGATAGAGCAGTAGGGTATCTAGGTGGTTGGCTTATACCACAGTTATTTAGACTTGTTCCATATTGTGTTACGGAAATGGTCATCCTTTAATACTAGAATCTTCGGCATTATTGTTTTTCTTTTTTTCCCATGTAGATATTGATAATAAAACTGTTGCTGAGAGTTCGTATTTTGCTTTCATTTGAAGTTACTGTTGTGCCTCCCTTGTAGGCTGCCTTACCGACGATTGCAGCACACTTGCTTACTCCAGTATGTAGGCGCACTGGAACAGTCATTTGGTACAGTGCAGATGCATGTGTCTTCGGTATTCCATGCCAGTGTCAGGCAGGCAGGTTGTTTCTTGGTTTATGAAGTAATCTGACAATGAGAAATACTTTCTTGTTGGACTCCTTTGTTTCTTGGAGTCTTCTGTCTGCATACTAGTGGAGCATAGTTCTTTTGCAGTCAGTGAGGAAGTTATGAAAAGAGTCAGATCTTGCTGCTATAAGGTGGGGTGAGGCTAATGTGAGAGTTCCGAGATCCTTGACACAGATTGAAGCAGCCTTATAGGAGTTTCAAGAACTTGGAAATCTGAACCATTAATGGAGAGCTAATGGAACTGTTTTGTGTGAGTTTGCTTTTTATTTGTGGTGGTGAGAAAGTAGGTAACTGCCTAGAATGTATGTTGTAGAGTTGGGACTTGGAGCCTAAAGAAAAGGGAGATACAAAGGACATAAATTGGTATTTTAGCCAATGTGGAAGTAGAAAATAGTAGAAAGCATGTTTCCTGTTGTATTCTGACAGTAAGGAAATTAGAGTTAGAAGTCTTCTAACTTTTAATTGATTTTACGAATTCTCTTCCTAATCAGCTTTATACAAAAACTGTGATCTGATGTGGAAGCAGAGTGTTTGGACATCGACTATTTCCAGCCACCTAGCCACAAAACATCTGAAAGAAGGTGGCCTCTTGACTTTGACAGGAGCTCAAGCTGCTTTGTCTGGAACCCCAGGTAAAATGCAATACATGGTAACTGCTGGGACATCAGCAGTTACAGTTAGGGTGAGCATTCTTGTTTATGAAGAAGCAATTTCACTGTCCAGTTTCTTGACATTTAGTACAAGTGGAAACACTGAAGTGTACTTTTACAGGTAACAGTATAGAATCTGTTGACGCTGGAGTGCAAACAAAATTATATTTAAATAGTATCCTTGACCATGGTGAAATGTACTTGGCTAATACATGATACAATAGAAAAAATTTGGAAAATAATTCCTCAGAAGAATAGAAGCACACAGCAAGCTGTAAAGATATTGGTAGAATAACAGAATGGTTGGGATTGGAAGGGACCTTAAATCTCATCTAGTTCCAATCCCCCTGTCATGGGCAGGGACACCTTCCACTAGACCAGTTTGCTCAAAGCTCCATCCAGCCTGGCCTTGAACACTGGCAGGGATGGGACATCTGGAGCTTCTCTGGGCAGCCTGTTCCAGTGCCTCAAATAAAGTAAAATGTCCTGTTTGTGTTCTGAAAGGTAGAGTCCTTAGTTGCCCAATTTTTCCATTGGCAATGACTCTGCTAATTCTGTTGACTCTGTTTGTCCTGTTCATGTTCCGATTCCCGTCTGCCTTTGCTTCAGACACAGATAAGCTTGTTGACCTTCGGCTTTGACATCTGCTAGCTATTTAATACAAACTTTACTGGGTTTTTCATCTTGCTCCTCACCAGGTTGGTCTGCATGGAGGAAGACATCTGGGAGCAATTTAACATTAAAACAAGGCAGCACTGACACAAGCCCACATGCAGGGAGTGGAAAGGTTTTGAGACAAATACTCGTATTTCCCAATCTTCTGTTAGCGTGACTTTAACTATATTTTCATGAGACATAGGTACTAAAATTTTAAAACATTCATTTTATGAACATCCCTGAAGGCTGTGTTTGAAACTGTTTGGGGAAAAATAGGCTATATTTTCTAGTTAGTGGTTTATCTTGTATGCTTAGAGCTGCTTCTGGCATAGTCAGAAGATAAAAGGCTTATTTTATGAGAATAAGCAGATGCGTAATTTACAGTGTACTGCTACTAACTGTATACAAATGAAAAACGTGAACTCCAGCAAACTTTCCTGTTTGTTATTTGGTGGTTTTGGGGGAGGTAGGGACCACAGCACAGGAAACAGTGATTTACTTTCATGTTCTGAACTAGCTGGTTTCAGCTAGTCTGGATTTTTTCCTGAAAAACACAGCAGTGCTTTCGGCAAACACATGCAACTCATTAACATCAGAAAGAATTGGGAAAGAGATGTTGCCCAACTTTTGCAAATAGGACTTCATGGGTTTGTTACTACAGCCCTTATGGAAGGAGTAATCTTTTTCTTGTTTGCTATTAGCATGGTTTTTCTTTTGCTGTGTGAAAATGTTGACTTGCATAATGGGAACTGAATAACACTGAAAATCACAGTTACAGAATCAGTCTGACAGTAGTGGCTACGGAATGTAGAAGTATGAACAGGTTAAAGAAGACTTAGAATGTTTGGTTTAGACAGGACAAGAAGGGAATGCCATACAGTTGCAAGTATCTTTATCATAACAATAATACAAGCTTGCTCCTGCTGCCCATGATTCTCCTGATAAAAATGGAATGCTACATTATGTCCAATTGGATATAGTGGAGACACTTCTACAATGTAAAGGTACCTTTGTAAATTTGATACGAAATACTTCCTCAGGAACACTGGAAAGGGGTTGTGTGGTTATATAAATGGGTAGAAAGGCATCCAGTTATATAGATGAAATGCATTTATTTTCTTATGTACTTAGTCTGTGTCTGGACTGCTTGGCAGAACATACTGTGAGACATCTCAGACCTGTAGCACCCTGATTGTCCAGATGTTTACCCAACCAGTGCACCTTATGCTGTCATTCCTGTTGCTCTTACACTGCTGAGTACTGTTTGCCTGGAAAGCAGCAGTGTTCAGGAAGAAATTCTTTTACGCACAGATTATTTTCTCCCATAGTGGGTAGGGAGGTATTGTAGCCTTTTTCAAAGGGCTTGTCAGATTTGGCATGCTGACCAAGTGAATTACAGTTCTGGAGAGAAGTGAGCTGTATCTGTTTGGGTCAAAACCCGCATAAGATGAAAATGAATGGATGATTGCCTTTAGTAACGTCTACAAGCATTTTCACAGTTACTTTATTAGATTTGTGAGGTTAGTTAGCCCTGTAGATCACATCTTTCAGGGTATGTTTGGATACATTAACTTACTACTTAACTGTGTAAGCTGCTAATTTCTGTGATGCTTTCTGGATGCCTAGTAAGAGCTTCTTGTTTTTTTTTTTCCTTTTATTTATTTTTTTCCCCTTTTAATATGTATGTTTTAATATGTTTTAAAAATCTGATTCTGTTCTGGCTGTGGTAGGTGGTCTTAAACTTCATGTTCATCAAACAATCTGAGGTTTTTTATTAAACTACTGATGGCATTGAAAGCTGTTTTGATTGTGCTTTAATTTGCCTGTTTTTAATTGTCAGGGATGATTGGCTATGGCATGGCCAAAGGAGCAGTGCATCAGCTGTGTCAGAGTTTAGCAGGTCCCAATAGTGGCCTGCCGTCTGGGTCTGCTGCTGTTGCCATTTTACCGTAAGTGATTGCACAGTTGCTTCTGCGTTGTTTTATTTGATTATTGCTGTAACCTGGAGTCACATGAATGTGCTTGTGATGTCCTGTTCACAGGGCACAAACAGCTTCTCACACCTATTCATAGCTTCATGCAATTCACAGAGAAAATGTTGGTTTTTTTCTTTTCTTTCCTTTGTAAAATGGTAGTGGATGTTAGGATTGAAATTTGCCTTTAAGCAGTTCAACCGTAGCTGTGCATTAACATGAGGTTTTTTGATTCTTTTTTTCCAGTATAGACAGAACTCTGAAAATGAGATGAGCTATTCAGCACAGTTGTAGATTGAACCATGTGATAGTAGTAAAGGGTAAATAGTAAAGCAAAAGGATTACTTGACAAGTTTTGACTTGGTTAAAGATGCTTCTTCATAAGGTGCTGCATAACTAAGCTTGATCAGTAAAATTAGATCATTTTGGGGATATATGGAAAGAAAAGTTTAGCTTGTATTTTCCTGTCACAGCTTTCTTTTTGATGAGGAAAGCTAGAAAAGTAGCCTAGAAGATCTTCACTCTGTCTAAACTCAGCAATTCTGTTGCCAAAATGAAAAGTATTTTTCTTGCTAGGTTCATATCTAATTCAGGACCAAAAACTACTAAAGAGTTCTATATAGGGATTTAGAACACTATCTGAATTCTCCCTGCTTTGTTTTCCTAACACACAAGCATCACCTTCTACAGAGCCATATGGACAGGCAGACACCAATATCACTGGACTCTTGGGTCTTCTGCATTTGGATACTTCTCATACAAAACTGGTTTTGAGTGAAGTTTTGAGAGAGTAATGATACCTTGGATTATCAACAGTATCTCAAGGAAGGAGTTGTAAAAAGTTCACCCCTTTATCACTGTATATAGCATAAATATATATCAAAGTCAAAGCTTCCTATGCTTGTGCACTTAACCTCTGCATTTACAGCTGGCATGAGGCTCTGTGAAAGCATGGCTGTACTGTGCATGTGCTGTGCAGTACACCTGAGCAAGCTTGTTGCTGTCTCTTCCTGTCTGCAGGAGAGAGACTAGAAGGGAGCTATGGACTGAGTGATTGCTCTAATGGGCTGGATTTCATCAGCAAGCCAGGAAGGTGAGGGCTTGTAGGTTGGAGCCTTTGGTATATGTTGAAACTGATGGCTGTATGTTCTCAGCACGTGGAGGATGCAGGAAAAATCCATACCATGTGGTCTAAAAGGCAAGCATATGCTACAGTGCTGAATAGAAGCAGGTGGCACTCATCAGAAACATGGTGTATAATTAAAAGGCTTATCTTTTTTAATCACAGGGTTACCTTAGATACACCAGCAAACAGGAAATCAATGCCTGATGCAGATTTCAGCTCCTGGACACCCTTAGAATTCATTGCTGAGTGAGTATCAGCGTGGTAACTAAGCAATTCCTCACTGTCCCTTTTGCTGCTGTATCTTTATTGCATGTTCTCTCTAAATAGCAGTCTTGGATTTGAGTGGCTTTTTACTTCCATCATCTCATTTTGTGTGTTTTTCAGTCACGTTGGGTTTATTGCACAGGCTTCTTAACTGGAGAAGATCAGCCCAACTATTTCAACTGCAGCATCTCTACACCAGTTATTCCAATAAGGGAGATTGCCTTAAGCAGTCTTAAGCCAGAGAACCTCATAAAGCCTGTAGACAAATTAAACTACAGACAGCAGATGCAAGAGACAGTAGTCTGGCTTAAAGGTGGACTGCAAATAGGCATGGAAACTTTGGGATTCTTGTTTTTCTGTTAAACACTCTATGCCCAGTCTGTGGTGTGTTCACTTCTCAGCTGACAAAATTCCTGCTCCTGTTTAGAAAAATTTAGTCAATATGTTTGTTTCTTTTTTTTCTGCCATCCACAAAGGCTTTTCCTGAATGTTGTTGCAAAATGGTGAGATTCCAGCTGTAGCCTGCATAAGAGCAGGCTGCGATTGCCTTGCTTACTGTGTGTCACTCCTCTGGTTAGAGAGGGTGCTCTACGAGTGCTGCTTTCTGCGCTGTGATTGGGAGTAGCAGAGATCCTACTGAGGGTGAGCTGTCAAAAGGAAGAAAATAAGGACACAACGAGGGAAACCAAACATGGATCTACATTCATACATTGTAAAGGGCTTTACTCTTACACTTTTTAAAGTCCTTTAGGGCTGACACTGAAATTGCATTTACCTATTGCTAATTGTTCAGGGAGTAGTTTAGTTCTGACATTAGATCTCCTTTTTTTGTGACTTTTTAAACTTAGAGTGGGAAATGGTTTTGTGAGCACCCTCTGCAGCTCTTTGATGTGGCTCTTTAAAAAGCCCCATTGAGTTGGCCTAAAAACATTTAAAAAAAGGTCTTTAGTTTATTGTGCTTAACCAGATGTTGTGGTTTTACTTTTTTTTTTTAAGTCTTTTTTCCACATGGAAGAATTAAGTTGATTGTTTTGGTTTGTTTCTTAAGTTCTAATTCCTGAACTTTTAAATCCTGTTTTGAAAATGGAAAATCTTGCTGGCTGTGGAAGAAAAACATGATGTTAAGTGTTGGTAACATCTGCATCTTGGGAAGGAGGCAGAAAAACTCTTCCCTACCGGGCACTTGAATGTTGTGCCATTGTGTCAGAAGGCAGGACATTCCAGCATGGCTGTTACTGTGTCTGCAACATTGGAAGGGTTGATGGACCTGAAAAATACACTGTGCTTTCTGTATTATATTTTGAGCAAGGAGTCTGTGTCTTGGTAAGAAGTGTTCTGGTGTGTTACCTGAATGAGTCCACCTTACTTTGCAGTACTTTGGATGTCTTAAGGCTTTGTGTACTTCTGCTGAGACCAGTGAGTTACAGTGGCCTATAGGAGACTAGTGGGTTTAGCAGCTCTGTTATAGCCAAAGGCAACTTAAGTTGCCTTTCCTTCCCCTTTTCAGTATTTGTTTTTGAGCTTGGAAATAACTCACCTTTTTGGCTTGCCACTTGGATGTTTTAAGCTCCTGGACTTTTCCTTTGAGATGTGAAAATCCTGTGTGAGCTCTGTAAAGCCCTATGGATTTTTCTGAGTCTGTGGCCAGTTCGGATGGCCTGAATCCAGTTATGGCACTGCTAGTTCACAATGTACACGGAAATCACCAGAGAGGGCAATATGAGAAGAAGTAAAACTAATAGGCTTTTATCTTATGTTTCCATCAGTGTACCTGATAATATATTTTTTTTTCCTCTTCCTAACTCTGTTTTATCCATTTATTTTGAAACAGAACCTTTTATGACTGGATAACAGGAAAGAATCGGCCAAACTCAGGAAGCCTAATCCAGATGGTGACTACAGGAGGGAAGACTGAACTAGTTGCGGTAGCACATCTTTGATGTAAGCCTCTTAAGGTGGTGGAACTTCAGCAGAGGAGAAGCTATGGGAAGTCTGTGTGCCACTGATTTGGGTGGTCTTCTATATTCATTAGTTATGTCATTAATAGAACCAGTTTTCAAGTAATATTTGTGTGCTGCCAGTGTGATCTGTCAGCATTTGTTTACCAACAAGTATCATGTATTTGTCTCTAAATGCAAGTTGCAGGCTTGAAAGTCTGTGTGTGTCCTAATTCTGAGCATTGTATGCTGACTTGCCTGTTTTCTCTGAAATGGGAACTGTGCTTAATTATGTCATGTAATCACACACATAATGGTTGGATTGTTTTTTTTCTCGGTCAGTAAGTGTTCCTGGCAACTTCCTGTGAAACTTCCAGTAGTCTGTGTCTTTGTCAGGAGATTTATCCCTGCCCCTGGATATTGTGTTGGCTGTAACAGCACGAAACATTGCAGTAGGGTATAATGTCTTAGTCTGGTAACATTTTTCTTGTCAGTGTTTCACTTAAGTTAACGGAACTCTGTAGAGAATACTCACCTGAGAAGGAGGTTTCTAATTTGCCTTACAGCTCATAAGCTGCTGTCAGTCATTCTGTCAAATGATTAGTATGTCGTTGTGTTAGTCATGATGGTTCTTTACTCTTCCAAGAAGCAAAGTGCCATAAAAAAGTACTAGAAAAATATATATACACTTCTATTTGAATAGGGATTTTTTTTTGTGCTAAATAAATATATATTGTTTTATGTGCTGGACTGTCTCTATCACTGTAACCTAACTATCTGCATAACATTTTAACCAATTTAATTGGACTTGCAGTTTGGTTATGGCAGGGGACTTTTCACTTCCTTCCTTCTGAGCATGCTGCATAAAACACATTTCTGTAGTAGAGGTGCACAAGAGCTACAAACTGTGCACAGAGGCAGGCCTTCAGCAGGAGCAAGTGTTACCTTTAATCCAGCTACATTGTGTGGAAATACAGTTTGGTTGCACAGTGAAAGTATTGTCTAGTCTGAGCATAGACTCACATGAAACCAGGACTGTCAGATTTATTGGAACGTCTTGAAAACAGCTGGATATGCAAATTTGTATGTACAGTCTCTATGCACTTTTTTTTTTATATTCAGGTTTAAGGATTTATCATCATGAGTCAGGAAATCTTTCCCTTGTTTCCACTAGGAAGAGCTGATATATGTCCTTGTCAGTTTTACCATGGTCATATGGTTGCATGATTGCCTCTTATGGAATGGCTGTCCCTTTACTTACTTTGTTTTGCTGGTTGCAAAGGTGTTGAACCAGTCGAGAACTGTCAATTCTTGAAGCTGCTTTGGATTCTAACAGAAGACTGCCAGCTGTGCTATTTGACCAGCGGTTTCTGCAGGCTGAGAGTACAGACAAAAGCTGCGAGACACTGATAAGGAATGAAGCACTAAAGTGTTACTTGGTTATCCTGGAAAAGGGAAGAGCTGTCTTACTACAAGCTTACCTGACTCAGAGGCTTCCCTTTTCCAAGCTAGCTGAATTTCCAAGCTGCCTTCAAGTCACTGTGTCATGTCGTCTTGCAAGCATCAATTGAAATGTGTCTCAGAAGCTGCCTGAACCACAGATCAAACTCTTGAATGGTGAAGGAAGAACAGCTGGGATTCCAGATGTGTTTTATACGGCTGGGTATGAGCACAGGGCCAAGGACCTGGCAGGCTGTATGGCTCAAAGGTACTTTTGCAGAGCTTGCTGTGGCAATAGATGGTAACACAGCAAATAGGACTAAGATGAGCAGAGAATCTTACTTGCTAACGGCTACAGGGGATTTGCATCTTTTGTAGGTTATGTGGACATACCCAGGCCTTAACATTGCTATTAACAGGAGGAGAAGGGGAAACCGGATTTAGAATTTGGTAGAACAGAGCGGCTCAGGAAAAGACGAGGTGTGATCCATGCATTTCAGAAGCTAGATGGATTCCTTCTTTTTCACTGGAAAGACCTGGTGGTCCTGATGGGAAAACCTGAGGCAAATGTGTGGTTCTGACCTAGATACTTTAGGTTTGCTCTGTGAGAGCTCTGGTTCTGTCAACCAGAGATACAGCCTTGAAAACAGGGGAGGTGTCCACACTCTACACAGACATGCGCCTGGAGACAGCTTATATGCAGTTTATGTGGCACCATCAACATCAATGTAATAACTGTGGAAGCAAGGAGTTTATTCTTTAATGTTAAGAAATGCAACATTTGCTCATTTTTTACACAAGTTGAGTGACTGAATTTATCAGGTTTTTATTTAGGACTGTACAACTGGTGCCTTATTAGAAAATCCATGTGCAGAGAGCCAATTTAGTGAGGCGCTTTTCTATACAACCTTCTTTTGAAGGTGCATACTGCTGTTCACTAAAGAAAAAGATCGGTGAGGTCTGGGGAAAAATAAACAAGTTGTGTCATGCAAATTGGTTCTGTTTTCAAGCTAAACCATTTGGGGTTGGTGTTTTAGCTTTCATAGGTTTACCCGTTGTCCTAGAGAAGGGACATTTCCACACCCGAGCCAAATTGTCGTTGTAAAGAAGATGCAATTAAATGGCACAGCTATAGTTGCATGGTTACTTACCCCAAACGGGTGGCTGCTATACATGGCATCAGATATGAGCTTGCAGAGGTGAGACATGGCTTTGCCAGAATGCCATGGCAGCTGGGACAGGCCCACTTTGTAAGGATGCTTTTTCTCCTACTGTCATGGTTTAAACCCAGCCAGACAGCTCGTTCACACTCCCAGTGAGTGGTGCTGGGCTAGAAGCAGTTGAGGCCTGCACCTCCCCCCCTCCTCCAGGGGCTCTCCGCTTCCCTGCTCCTGGAGGGATGGGAAGGAGAATCGAAAGAATGCAGCTCCCACAGGCTGAGACAACAGTCCAGCAACCAATGCACAACACAAATCACCACTGCTACCACCAACGACGACAGTGATAAGAGAAAATAACAAGGGAAGAGAACACGATACCACCCACCGAAAAATGAGCCCAACCCAGAAGACCTCGTGTCCTTCCAGGTAACTCCCAGTTACACACACACACACACACACACACACACACACACACACCCGGGCATGACGTATGGAATTCCTCTTTGGCTAGCTTGGGTCAGGTGTCCTGTCTCTGCTTCCTCCCGGCTTCTCCTCCTCCCTGGCAGAGCATGTGCCTCACAAAGTCCTTGGTCAGGGTAAAAATTACTTAGCAACAACTGAAAACATTGGTGTTATCAGCACTGTTCCCAGGCTGAAAGTCAAAACACAACGCCACCAGCTACCAAGAAGGAGAAAAATTGACTGCTACTGCTGAACCCAGGACACCTACAGATGTAGAAAAAGTACATTTTAATAAAGCACAAGTAAGTATGAAAGGGACTTGTGCAGTAGAGACTGGTACTACGATTACAAACCCACAGACCTACGAATACTGGGCAAGACGCTGATTTTGGCATTCAAGGTGTAAGTGGGTACGAACCTGAGCTGCTGGGTGGCCCAAGACCACCATCCTGTGAAGCCTGATCCATGTACAACCCTGTTGCTTCGCAGAACCTTTGGTGCATTGCAGGACTGAGCCTGAAATGTTCTCAGATTTCCCTGTGAAGTGAAATCCATGTGTTTTACCAATAGGTTTCATTAGTTTCTTTAAAGTTGCATTTTTATGGGAAAATTAGTTTTCTGCCTATTAGCTAATAACAATTCCCACAAAATGAATAAATTTATGCTTTGCACCCAAGAAAAGCAGATGGAATAGCTTCCAAGTACAAAGGTAGCTGAGTCATTCAGCAGTTGGCATTCTACATTAACCCGTAATTTCACTTTGAAACCTTTTGTTGGAATAACTCATTGTGCTAAAGTATGATTTTTTTATAGTGGAATGAAAACTACCACCACAACAAAAAAATAACATTTATTATCCTGTTCCTTCTTTGTATTGGCTCACTGGAAGAAAGCAGATAATAATATGTAATAGCATGTGAAGATGCTTCAGACTAACCCTTGCAGTGTTGGAACAAGGTGAGAAGTAGGCAGACATCTGAAAAACACTGCAAAAGTCAATAGCAAATGTCACTTGAGATTTAGATCCCTGTCAGACGCTGTCAATCTTGCACTTCCTGAGACACCACATCCTAAAGGATTTGCTTTATAAACACGGCTGGTCTCTGTGCTGTCTTGCAAGGAGCCTTCGGGGTATGATCACAGATTCCAGGAGAGTTGCGGCTGATCTTCAGGAGTGCCGGCAGAGGGCAGAGGCTGCCAATACATGGGGGGAGGTTTTTCTACTGCCAGGAAAATATCACTATGTCCTTTTTGGCAACGAGGATTTGAATTGTGCCACAGCCTCCACCTAGAGGGTCATTGCCCTTTCTTGCTTTGTTGCCCACAATCCAGGCTTTCTGCCCTTCCCTATGCCAAGCACATGCAGCTGATTATATATATATATATATATATGTATATATATATACAGACACATACCACATCTAGAAACTCTTCCGTCTGTTTCAAATAAAACAAAACAAAACCTGACACCACAACCAACACCACCACCACACACATGTGAAGCAACAAAGAAACCAAGGCTGTGAAGGGAGTCCCCCAGCAAGGGGTAGCTGTGTTATCAGCAAGTGCATTGCCAATCAACAGTCTGTAGCAAACTTTAAGGTCTTGGACACAATAGGAAAGGAAACTGATTATTTAACTTCTGTACTGCACATACAGATTACAAGAATTTCCTAATCCAACCGAAAGAACCGGCCTCTATTCGGACCAGACTGGTATGAACAAGGAGATGGAATTTGGAGACATAAAAATTAATTATAGTGTGGTTTTGAATGTCAAAGACTTAACACCTTTGCCTGTGCAATGAAGGAGTAGGTAATATTAAAGTGATATTTAGGAGGGAACAAGAAGTAACAAGCCAACTGCCTGTCATTTCTGTAGTTTAATATTCATTATCCAGTGTCTCCTGTAGATATGAACTGCACCACTAATCACAATATTTTCCTTTACAAACTTCCTCTTAAATACTGTTATTAAGTACATATAGGGCATTCTTATAAATAAAAAAAAGTATAGAAAACCTAAAGATTTGAGTCCCTTGTGTCTATTCCTGCTTTCACTACTGGTCTGCTGGAAGCCTTTGAATACATCTCTGCATCTGTGCCTCATATCCCAAAATATGAGACCATTTAAAAGTGCTTTGAGATCTACTGATGAAAATCAGAACATAGGAATGAAAGACAATTATCTCTTTGTGAGTGCAGTAATAGAAACTGAAAATACCTCTTTAATCATCTCTCTCATTGAAATTAATGTAAAATTGTGATCACAAGCAAAAGTCCTTTGCTACCAGCCATGTTTGGTGATTTGCAAAAGAAGTACTATGCCAGCAATTACCTCAGCTAGGTGATTTGGACATCACTCACCTGTATATCTGGCTGTAGGCAGTGGTATTTTCTCTCCAGCACAACAGGCACTAATTATTCATGGCTATCACAGATGGAATTTAAAAATAACATGCTGTTTTTTTCATTTTGAACAAACCAATTACTCTTCCTACCATTGCACCCTTGCATCTTAGTGTGACAGGGCAGAGGAATTAGTATAAATGGGCCCCATAGTAGATTCTAGATCCACATGAGTTAGCTTTTTTATTTAAGCCCATACTCAAACCTCACCTGGAAGAAGAGTCTCTTTGACCCCCAAGATTGTATTTTTTTCCAAATTATTAAGACCCTT